GGGGGGGGGGGGGGGGCTCAGCAACTTGCGCATCCGAGGGTTATCTGCCAGGGAGTACGTGCACCGTGCACGGCATTGGCGGCCGTCATGTCGTTTTCGGGGTGGGGGCTGGCCTGCATACCGCACGTGACAAGAGAGACACCACACCCCGTGGACCGAGTTTCAAAGCTCGACTACTCCAAGAAGGAGAGCATGCCAAGCCCAAATGATGGCGCTTTCGAAAAGATCTCGACCAGATGGCTCCAACGCCGACATTTCGGTACCGCCACTCTTGACTGGTGAGGAAGTAGTCGAGCTTTGAAAGTCGCTTCAAGGGGTGTGGTATGTTAAGTCACACATAGTTTTTCCGTGCGTCTGAGGACGCCTGCCGAGAACATGTGGGCGCACAGATGGCTCCGAGGCCTTCGGTGGCAACGACATACCGAAGGTTTGCGCAAGATACCACATCCCCCGACCCGATTTCCAGAGCCGGAAAACTCTGCAGCTCACACAGTAGCCTAACCCTAATCCTGAGTGACGGTGCGCCCAGAATAGCGGCGTTGGAACAGTATCGTTGAGAGCTTTCCGAAAAGGTATCGGTTGACGTAGGCATCCTCTTCGTGGTCGAATAATCGAGCTACATACAAATCGGCCCCGGGGTGTGTGGTATCATACGTAACCTTAGGTGACTGTCGGGTTTCGTTCAAGACGCGGTGGACTCCACTTGGGTGCTCGCCTGCAGTCGGCTGACCAATATTAACTACGGTTTCACCCCTACCTTTTGGAGGAGTCAATCGCAAGTGGTCCGCGACTACCGTGGGGGTGGGTAGCTGAACCCAGCTTGCTGCATAGCCTTGCGGTTAATGTTTCTTCTGAGAGAGAGGGTCAGGAAAAACAGCTCCTTCACTAGTCGAGATCAAAGCGCCTCGCCATCCCACCCAGACAATCGATCAAACCCCCACCGAACTATGAAACATGCCGTCAATCGCCGTCCTCCATCCAAAGCTTGTCTCAACACCACGAGCGATTCGGATCAAGACACCACACACAGCCGAACTCACTTTCCCAGAGAAGAATGCGGCGGGAAGCTGAGAGGCACTAGGGCTTCCCTCGCCGCCCTCATGTCGCTCTCCCACGATAGCCTGAACCGAGGGGACAACCACGTGTTACGCTCGCGTCGGCCTGGAGGAGAGGTAGGACATCCATGCACAGCGAAGGTGCATGAATGGCGGACAGCGGATACAGCAGAAGGCTTGTTGTCAGGGGCGCATAGAAAGGTTGATCGACCTCTATATTCGAGAGGCGGACAGCGGAAAGCGCTGGTTGCCAGGGGCACAGAGAAACGGTTGATCCGAGGAACTTGATATTTGTAAGGCGGACAGCGGATAGCGCTTGTTGTCCGGGGCACAGAGAAACGGTGGTGTGTTCCAGGACCCTGATATTTGAAAGGCGGCAGCGGATAGCTTGTTGTCAGGGGCGTAGGGAAATGGTGGTGGATCTCAGGACTTCGATAAATTGTGAAGCGAGGAGAGCGTTGTGGTTCCCCGTCGGGGGTGAGTGGTGGTCATCGTTCTATCCCCTACCACTATCCCCTACCACACACCCACGGTACCCCCAGAGTTCCCGCAGATCAGCATGGAGTGCCGGATACCCAAAACATAAGGAGACAGCAACGCCAGGCGTTTTCCTTTCTTGGCGGCGGGATGCTTGTTTAAAATTGAATTGGGACGGCATAGTTTGATGACGGGCATGGGACGGGAAACAAACCGGGGACAAACTGTTGGCGTCGCGACAAATTTCCCAAGTGGTCCCTCGGGCTGGCTGATCACGTAGATGCCCCAAGCAAGACGTTGCAATCAGAAAGAAACCGCGCCCCCCCCGACAAAATCCTCATTCGCAGCGGTGGTGATTGAAGTTCGTGTGGCAAGCAGCGGGTTCACCGTAACACACATAGAATTGTAATGAAGGACCACGTGCAATGTTCCCCGCGCGTGTTGATTGTTACCGGTATCATTCAAGACAACTAACAAAAAAAACAGTTCAACACCCTCAGCACATGAATGGCCACGCAAAACAACAATTACGGGAGAACGAAATCAGCGTTGGTCAGACTTTCCTTCGACGAGAACAAATGGTGACAAAAGCAGTGCTGCTGCTTGGGCTCACCAGCGGCCTCGGCGGATGCGTTGGCTAGGATAAGACCGGCCACTTTGCCCGGGTTATCGCAGGCAAATCTCAGGAGAACGTTGGCTCCGGCCCCTACGCCGAGACCGACGAACCATTCCAGGCCAAGCTGGATGGTTACCTCAAGCAGCTGGGTTGCCTGCGCCTCTAGCGATAGCGCCTTGGCCCTAGCAAAGTGTATCGTCGGCACACGATTCCCACGGGATCAGAACAAAGAGTGGGATGTTGCGGTTGCCAAGAGGTCGTCAGACACGGTCTTCGGCAGCGAATTGCGGTGCTGCTCCTGTTGTCCACAACGGTGGTGTCGATGCCGGTGGCGTTTGTGTCCTCAGCGACGGGGCCCGAATACATCAATACGCATGGTCGAGGGCATGTCTCGGGGCTTGCTTGAAAGTACGGCAGTGGGCAACGGACCCAGCAGCGAGATACACACGTCTGTATGGTTGACAGCCTCTTGGCGTTCGACCTTTCGTTGCACTACATAACCAGCACAGCACCGCACGAGCTCCCTGGCACCGGATCAAACACTCACAAGCCGATTCGTCCTTGTATCACGCTAGCAACATGTACGAACACCGAACAACAACGGTGGCGTGGCGGTGCCCCCACAGAAGGCGCGACACACTCTGCAGGCGTGTCCCCATCTTCCTCCGAAAACTCACTCGACATCTTTCGCCTGCTCCTCCTCGTGCCCGGGCGTGTCCACATGAAAAAACACTACGCCCCCGGCGCCAAGTTCCTCGTCCTTCGCTACCTCCCGCTCAAGGCCACCGAGGCACGTCCGATGGTTGTGCCCCGCGGCGTGCATCGTTAGCACAGCGAGCCGTTTCCTGCCGCCGCTGCCGCCGCCTTCACGAGCACCACCAACTTTGGCGCTAGTGCCGCCGTGGCTCCTGCCGCCTCCCCTGTCTCCCACGATGGTGACACGCGTCGGCCCGGGCGTGGTCAAAACGCAAACCGTTTCCCTCGGGGGTGGGGGAAGTTCAGCGGCGGCGGCAGCGGTAGCAGCAACGCGCACGTCTTCCCAGCTGCTGTCATCATCGATATCATCGACGTCGGGGATAACGTGTGAGACGAGAGATGAAGACGACTCCCGCAAGCCGGGCGCGGAGACAGCATCACCGGCGCCGCCGCCGCCGCCGCCTCTGTCACTCAGCTCGGTGAGGTAGGAGCTCTTGATTACCCCCCGCAGGGTGGAGCGCTTCGCTCCCGACTTGAACCGCTGCCGGTGTTCCACCCACTGTTGCCGCAGCAGCTCCTCCCGCTCGTCTACCTGCCGATGTTAGCGACGGGTGTTTCCTTTAGAAAATGTACATGCAGTCAAAGAAAGACTACTACCAATGGAGAAAATACCACGGTATTTGAAGGGGATAGGTTGAAGTCTCCACATTGAGTGGGAAGAAAACCGGCTGGATACTTGGGGGCGTTTTTGGTTTTCCTGTTCGGTTTCTGTGCTAACAGGCTGCTAATGGGGGTCGTTTCAGGGGGGGCGAGCAAGCAGCGGTGTGCAATTTGTAGCTATCATTTGTTGTTGTTGTTGTTGTCTTCACATGAAAAAGCGTTCCGATCTCTCTCTACCCAGTACCTCCGTATTTCTTGGTTTTGCTGGGAAAAATCTGGTTCTCGAGATATTCGCGTTGTTGTTGTTCCGCGCCATGCGGTGACTTTTTTTTTTCCTGGGCGCACGCGGTGCCCAACAACTGCACACACGGCAACCCGAACAACACAAAACACGCACACAAGCACCATGGGGAAGGCTAAGGGACGGGCAAAGAAGAAGAAATTCGGAAATCGCGGACCCGATGGCAGGGCGGTTCCTAAAAAGCCGAAGCCGGCGCAGCAAAATGATAACTCATCGCCCGGCTCTGGTGATGCACCAGTCGACGGCGCGGATTTGATGGACGTGGATGAAGAAGGGACGGCAGCGGCAAACGAGGACGCCAACGATGAGGAGTGGTGCGATGAGGATTCCAGCGGTGCAAACGGCAGCAGTGGTGGAGGTCAGTCGATACTGCGTTTTGCGCACCGGTCTGTAGCGTCCGCAGCAGCGCGCGCCGCAAGAAACGCGGCGAAAAAAATCTCGCCGCCTGCACTGTCCAGGAGCCAAAAATTCCGAAACAGAAAAAGGCTTCTCGGACAAGAAACGAAGGACATGGCACGATTCATGGGAGCATTCTTGCGGCGGGCGCAGCAGGAAAAGCAGCAACAGTCGGAGCAGGAAGAGGTGGAGAGCTCCTCTGTCGGTAACGAGGTTCGTCCTGTAGAGGAATCGGCGGTGAATTTAGAGATTGCACCGCCTACTGGTCCCTCGAACGACGGCAGCGTGTGCGGACATGTAGAGACCAGCAGTAGCTGTGGCAGTGTCGGCGACATGCCCATAACCACGGGTCACGGGCTTCTGATAGAGGAGTGGTGTAGCGGTCAGGAGATGAAGGACGCCGAAGAAGCGATGGATGACATTTGCGATACCTCATCAGACGGGTTTCTTGACGGTTTGGATTTCAGCAGCAGCAGCAGCCGCAGCAGCAGCCGCAGCGGCGGCGGCGGCGGCGGCGGCGGCGGCAGCAGCTGCGCCGAAAGGGGCGTCCCCCCCTGTCCTCTTGGCAAAGAGGCAGTAGACGTTGGGCAGGAGACGGGGGCGAACGATGAGGTCGGCGACAAAATGCGAACCACTGGAGTACCCGTCGTTGCGGACCTCCTCCCACCAGGGCCCTCCCGTCGAAGCATCCGAGACGGCCGTTTCGGCGGTAGGTTTGCTGCACCCACCCGCCGATACGACAACACGGCTGGAAACAACAAAGGTGGGACAGGGAGAGGCAACAAGGTTCTGGCGCCGGAAGAGGTCCACGACAGATCAGGTGTCACTGCGATGCAGCTTCAGACGAACAAGTCGCGGCGCGCCGTGCGAAGGGAGAGGGTGGCGCAGGAGGGCAAGATATGGACGCCTGCGGCGCTGGCTCGGGCAAGGGATCGAACACGCAAGCACTGGTCGAGGCGTAAGGCAGAGCTCATGGAAACCTATCGCAACGCCTACGACGTGCTTCAGAAGGTGAGGTCCGTGGTAGCTGTACCTGATCAATGCTTTTCAATGAAAGCCAACTTTAAATATTTGTTGTGGTTTTGAGCGTCAGACACTGGCAAATTTGGCGCCTGTTCTCAACACTGCTGTGGCCACCCATAGGGCGTCACCGCCGTGTTTTTAGGTGCTGATGGTTGCGTGCCGTGAGCCCATGTTCTTTTCCGTTCTTCCCCCCCGCCCCCCGATATCGAAACCTACGGTAGAGATGAGGTCGCCTGAAATTTCTGCTGACAGCGACATCTCCAAAACGCCCGTGTTCTTCCTCCTTCGTCTCAGGCTGAAGAGACCAACAACTACGGATCAGTGGTGGAGGATTCGACGACGATGCTGGATGAAGCACACCTGGTTCGCACCACCCGTGTCATCCGCACCGTGAAGCATTTCCTGTTTCTCGAGTGAGTGGGCGGGGAATGTGTAGTGCTGTCTTCTCCTGTCTTGCATCTTCGTTTGAACCATTGGGCATTGATTGGATCGGCGCTGCCGTTGAAGCACCATTCGCGCTGCATGTTCATGCCGGTTAGATATTGCTGAGCGATGGTGCTGTCTCAGAAGAGGATACTCCGTTTACCACATATCCCCCCGCGAAAATGCCGACCGAATTAACGACAGAATCCAAGATGGGGTCGCGAAAATGGAGCACAGCAGAGAAGCAGGCAAGGTCGCCGACGTCGACTCGAGAACAGTGAGGCGTTGGGTGAAGGAGTTTTGCAAGGGTGACTCCTTCGTTGTTCGCAAACGGCAGTACAACAAGCGGGAGCCGCACTCCTACATCGACGATGAGGACATCCGCGGTCGCCTGAGGGAGTACATCGACCGGAGGCTGTACCGACGGAAGAAGGACGAGCCACGCCTTCGAATCGCCGACGTGCAAAAGTGAGTGTTTTGGAAATAGAGGAAACGAAGGTATGTCGTTCGTTGGTGGAGGTAGAAACCCGTGCGCAAAATTGTGTGGGCACGCTGCTTTTGTATTCGTGAGTTGTTTTTTTTTTAGGTGACCCTCTGCCAGCTTTAGACACCCTGTCTTCGGAATGGAATTTATTGCTTGCGGGATATCTGCTCAGTTGGCCAGCGACCCGCCCCCCTTACATCAGTTTTTCGTTGTGAACACTTTGTCTCATGTACTGCGAAGAACCCCCTCCCTACCCACCCACGTCGGTTCCCACTGTTTTCGTTGTCTTCGTTGCATACACTCCTCTGCCACGACGTTACTTTGAAACAGGTGGATCAATGAAGATCTACTGAAAGAGGAGCTTGCCGGTACGAGAGGAATTTCTCGGAGGACCGTGCACAAGTGGATGCAAAAGCTCGGCTTTCGATGGTCGAGGCACCACAAGTGCGTGTACGTGGACGGCCACAACAGACCGGACGTCGTCACCGACCGTCGGAGCTTTGTGGAGTTGCTAAAGCGCCTGCACCAGAACATGTCCATGTGAGAAAACGTTTTTTAATGGGCCTGGGATATGAAGCACCCCTCGAGCGTTTTTTTATTTTTTATTCTGTTGGCGTGCTGTGAAGTGCCACATGCGACATACTGCTCTTCATCGTCCGCCTGATACCCGCGGCGTAACCCTCCCTCCCCCTTCATAAACACAAAATCAAGCAAGAACCCAACTGCGAAGATTATGTCTCAACCTATCATGGTCCTTCCGTTGCTGCTGACTCAATCTTTGCCCCGTTGGCAGTCCCGTCCGCGTGGAAGAAACGGTGATGGTGGCAACCAGCCGCGGTGAAGCTCGGCAGGAGGGAGCATCAGATGACTCGGACGTCAGCGGCGACGAGCGGGACAGCGGGGCCAGGTCGGAGACGGGCGACGACGAGCACATCAACGGGGAGACGACGGGCCGGGAACCTCTTCTCTGGCCAGCGGTCAGGGAAGTCGAGGGCAAGAAGGAGTACAAGCACGTGCGCGTCTACGGCGATGGCGAGACGTCAAAGCGCGTGGCAGACGACTGCACGCGTGTTCCGTTCGACCCGCGCGACTTGGCGGCACCCGACTCCAAGGGTGACTACTGCTTGCTCCCTGACGACGAGGTCATGAAGTTCTATCGACCGAAGAAGGTGAAACGCGAAGCGCTTTTCTGGCCAGCAGTGCGGACGGTTGACGACGAGGATCAGTACAAGCACGTGCGCATCCACGACCCCGCGAATGCTCTCGGGAGGGATTGCGTGCGTGTGCAACGGCTCAAGGAATGCCCGTGCGACCAGCGAAAGCTCTGGGGCAAGTGCTCGTGCTACGTTCGATGTGAGTGCTACAACTGCATGCGCAAGCCGGGCGTCGACTCCACGCAGCTGCCCTTCGATCAACGCGACCTCATCGCCACCGATGGAAAGGGGGATTACCGCCTGCTGCCTGATCACGAAGTGTTGTCGCTGTTGTTCCACGACGAGACCACCGCGAAGGAGAACGACGATGGGGACCACCAATGGCTCTCAGCGGACAAGGGGGCCGCCATGAAAGTCAAGGGGGAGGGCCGCGCCGCGCACATCTCGGATGTGATCGGCGTCGACCTTGGGCAGCTACAGATCAGCGAGGAGGTGTGGGGCATGATGCAGGAGGACAAGGATGCCGGTACGGAGCGATCTGGGAAGTACTTCGGCAGGACGGAGGGTGAGGGGGAAGATAGCCACAAGGTGAAGGAGATTCAAGATGCGGTGAAAGTGCTGAAGAAGGCTGCTGCAGACTGCGAGGTGCTCAAGACAGCGAACGACCCACGGACGGCTGCTGTCATCATGACTGTTGGGAAGCAGCATGATGGCTACTGGACGAGCGACCGCATGTGCGCCCAACTACCGGCGGCTATCGCTATGTTCGAGCTGTCGAACGGGCCGCACCGCCAGGGTGTCTTCATCTTCGACAATTCCACTGGGCACAACGCCTACGACGACGACGCGTTGCTGGCCCACAAGATCAGCTTGGCGCCGGGTGGGGAGAAGGCCGCGCTCAGGGTGTTCGAGGATGACAACGGGAAAACGGTACACCCTACATTTCAGGTTGGTGACACCCTGCTCACCGACAAGAAGATATTCTTACCGAAGACAGAGGCGCAGAAGAAGATGAAGGGGCGCAAATTTGGAACGGGGCTTGACAAAAAGAAGTACCCCGTCGGAACCAGAGTCACGTCTGGATCGCCGCTGCTCGGGCTCAACAAAGGAGGTGAGCAGATGCTCAAGGAGATGGGGTTGTGGCGGCTTGACGGCGAGAGGGCGAAGGGGCTCGTCAAGTGCTGCAACAAGTGCAAGGCCGACAACGCGGCCTCACGGCAAGCGATCGCAGCATTCAACAAAGGCGGCGAGCAGCGTGAGAGGGTTCTAGAGCAAGCGCGGCGGGAGCAGCAGAGTTCTCCTGCCGAAGGCCCCGCGGCAGAGGGAAGGGCGGCCGCAAGGAGGCAGCGATGCTGCATGGAAAGGGTCTTCTCCGACCTGGGGGCTTTCAAGGCCCAGCTCAACAAAGTCCAGCAGATCTTCAAGGACGCCGGTCACGTGTGCATCTTCCTTCCCAAGTACCACCCTGAGCTCAATGCCATTGAGCGGTACTGGGGATACGTCAAGCACGTCCTTCGGCTTCACTGCGAGTACTCCCTCACCCACATGCTCAAGATTCTGCCGAGGGCGTTGAGTGGGGTGCCTTTGGAACACATCCGCGCGTGGAGCAGGGTGGTGTGGCTATACATTGAAGCGTACGACGACGGGATGGTGGGCTACCTCAAGAACCGCGAACTCAAGGAGTGGCACACGCACCGAGAAGCCACCCGAAGGGGGGATGCGGTTTTGGAGGCAGCGGGGCGAGGAAAAACACAAGCGGAAAAGGACGCCGCGGCGGCGAAGGCGTTGGCGGCTTCGCAGGAATGCCGAACCTTCTCCACGAGGAGGGCCAAAAGGGCATTCAAAGCGTGGAAGAACAAGCAGAGGGAGGAAGAGAAGGAGGGGGGAGAGGAGAAGGAGGCCGAGAACACTGCGTCGTGATGTGTGTGTCTCTGTATGCATTATTGGGTGTTTTTTACGTTGAAGTATTGTTTATTCAACAGTTATGCGTGGTGTCTGCAAAGTGCGAACGTGAGGTGTCCATGGTGTATCAAGCAGGCAGTAAGAGAGGGGGGGGGGGGTCCCTCCAGGGAACGATTAGGGGGGTTCCGTGATTACATAGGGGAGGTATACTGCATTCTGGGGGGCTCCGTGTATGATTTTGGTCAAAAATGTTGCATGTCACCAGAAAAAAAAAAACTCTGCGGCTATCGACGTATCTCGACGAGGCGGTCACGACCATCGTTGTTTCACGTTCCAATTTTTTTTCAAAAAAAAGTTATCGCACAAAACGTGATTGGACAAATTGTTGTGCACGGACCATATGTCCGTATTGATCCAACACTTGACGTTATCGATTCCCGTGGTCACAGGTTAATTTACCCTAAAAAGGTACACTCAAATAAACTGGCCCCGAGGGGTCCCCAAGTCAAAATATATCAACGACAGATATTCTGGAGTCCCCCACTCCCTCTGCGCGCTATGCGAGGTAACAACTGAGACTAGGGGTCACCATCACGGGCCGGAGGGAATGAGGTACAACCCCTTGGTTCAATCTTGGTACTTCACAACGCAAGCAGAGACAAGGCCATCTGGCACAGAAAAAAGAGAGAAAATAAAAGAGAAAGAGAAAACAGAGGAAAAGAGAAAAAAGAAAAGAAAAGAAAACAGTAAGGACGAGAAAACATCATGGATCGGCCTGAAAGGGTATCCTAGGTGTGGACGGCGGTGGAATGACAGCGTCCTCAGAAGTGGCGGCGACCGTTGTGAGATTCACGATTGTTACGTTGTCCACATCGGGGAGGGGGGGGGGGATCGAGGTCGGCAGGGGCCTGACCGGCACCACGGCGACGACGGGCGCAGCAGACACCCCCCCACACACCCTCGCGATACAAGTAAGATTATGAGGAAAAGAGAACAGAAAGGGGGGACCCTTGTATCCCTAACGCAACTTCCCCGATTGCATGCTTTATCCAACATGTCCACTTAATCGAAAAACCCTGCTCCGAAGGCTACTGGGACTCCCTCGCGGAAGCGGGCGCCGTTCGGAGCGGCGGCCGGAGTTTGCGACGCCGGCAGCCGCGTTCGGGTGTGCATGCCGTCCGTCGCCCGGACATGGATTTATCTGTTCGTTCCATGCCACAATTTAATTGGATTTGCAGGGCTTTTTGTCCAGCGACGAGAGAATGATGAAAGCACAAGTGGCATGCAAAGTACTGGCGGGCGGGGGGGACGCAGTTAGTACCTGCTGGGCGTCGCGGAACCATTTCCATCTGGTTGTTCACCTCTTCTGCACAGGGTGCAACAGCAGTAGTAGTCTTTTCCCGAAAGCCCGGATGTTCTTGTGTTCGATTCGTGCACCAACAGCAGCGTGGTGCTCAAGCAACACATTGCCGTGCAAAGCAAAACCGGCGCAATTCGCGTAATACCGCATGTGAGGAGACTACAAGTACAACTTGGGGCAAGTGACCTTGGGGGCTGAACATGTGTACATCCACATCTGCACCCTATCTGCACTTTTGTTCACAGCGCAAATCACGAGCCATACACACCTCGGGGGGTCCAACGAGCCGGTAGACTAGCAGCAGGATTATGCTTAGCGGGAACAGCATCCACACCCCGTAACCCGTGAAGAAGACATTGAAAATCAGCTCCCGTCCGGTCGGACACTCCACGCCGAGAAGTCGGACGCACCAACCAGCAGTAGCAACGGACGCAGACGTTGACACGCCGGGATTCAGCAGTCCTGGCGGAAAGCTGTTCATCTCCTTCTAGTGCTGGACCCCTCCTCGGCCCTGTTATCGCGCTTGCGCCTGCTGCGCTCGTGAGACCGCCCTGTAAATGAACTCGGCAAACTTGGCTCGGGGCGTGGGCGGTGGGCAGGGGGGGAACGTTTTTGGGAGTTCCATTGTGATCTGCATGGATTCGTTACCGTTCCCTCTTGCACACCGAAGAAACCAGCAAAAAGAGATTGTTGGGGAAAAAAATAGGCTTTATTTAGTCTATCGTTTTGAAATAAAAAAGTTACAGCGTTCTCTCTCAGCCAGTTGTTGTTGTTGTTGTCCTCCCATTAAAAACCGTTCCGATCTCGCTCTACCCAGTACCTTCGTATGTCCGTACTGACGGACAGGAACAGAACTGGTCGAAGTGTGTGCTCGACGACTTGAAGGCATTCGGGGCCGACCACGGATCTACGAAAACCGATATATATATATATATATTAATATGTTGTTTCGGAATCCCGGTACCGAAAAACACGGCACCGACGTCAAAGTGGACGGAAGCCGCGAAGGTAGAGGGGGGAGTACCCTGGCATGCGGCGGTGCTG